CAGGTAACCTCTGATTCCGGAAGTCATGCCCACAGCCCGCCCCCCAGCGCCATCTTTGAAGTGTTCAGCATAAGAGAAAAAACACATGGAGGGTGCGGGATCCCGGAGGAAAAAGAAAAAAGAAAAAACAGGTTCCAAAAAGATCACCCGCAAGTTCCAGATGGAGTAGGTGCCCCATCCCACCTCCCCCAGATGGAACCCCGGTGACCAGAAGCCTCTACAAACACAGCTCGAGTATGCGGGAACGAGGACTTTTTCTCAAATCTGCCGGACTACACCTCCCAGGTAACCTCTGATTCCGGAAGTCATGCCCACAGCCCGCCCCCCAGCGCCATCTTTGAAGTGTTCAGCATAAGAGAAAAAACACATGGAGGGTGCGGGATCCCGGAGGAAAAAGAAAAAAGAAAAAACAGGTTCCAAAAAGATCACCCGCAAGTTCCAGATGGAGTAGGTGCCCCATCCCACCTCCCCCAGATGGAACCCCGGTGACCAGAAGCCTCTACAAACACAGCTCGAGTATGCGGGAACGAGGACTTTTTCTCAAAACCGCGCGGCCGCTTACGCGGCCGCGCGACATCTATATACAAAGTGATCAATAAGAAGTAAACCACCCAATCTTTCTCCCTGAAAGTCAGAGTTAAGTTTGGAGCAGGGCCACAGCCCCAGAAACACAAGGACTTAATGCAGAACCCAGCAGCTTAGAGCAGAAAAGTGAAAGGACTATGCATTAATCCAGGCCATCAAGTCTGCCGGAGGGGAAAGGGTGTTGCCCCATTCGCCCTCTCTTCTCTGGAAAGAAGGATGGCGGCCACATGGGAGCCTTGTGGACAGCAGGTATGAGCCGGGGGTGTGGGGGCGACTAAAACCTCATGGGAAGGGGGGCGTTCCGGTCCGTCCTTCACGCCCTACCGAGGTCACCAGCTGCCCCCCACGAGCGGCTCTCCAGCACGGCCACAGCCCCAGAAGCACAAGGGCTTAATGCAGAACCCAGCAGCTTGGAGCAGAAAAGTGAAAGGACTATGCGTTAATCCAGGCCATCAAGTCTGCCCAGAGGGGAAAGGGTGTTGCTCCCTTCCGCCCTCCTCCCTCTGGAAAGAAAGATGGCGGCCACATGGGAGCCTTGCGGACAGCAGGTATGAGCCGGGGGTGTGGGGGTGACTAAAACCTCATGGGAAGGGGGGCGTTCCGGTCCGTCCTTCACGCCCTACCGAGGTCACCAGTCACCCCCCACAAGCGGCTCTCCAGCACAGCCATGGCCCCAGAAGCACAAGGACTTAATGCAGAACCCAGCAGCTTGGAGCAGAAAAGTGAACGGACTCTGCGTTGACCCAGGCCATCAAGTCTGCCGGAGGGGAAAGGGTGTTGCCCCATTCGCCCTCTCCTCTCTGGAAAGAAAGATGGCGGCCACATGGGAGCCTTGTGGACAGCAGGTATGAGCCGGGGATGTGGGGGTGACTAAAACCTCATGGGAAGGGGGGCGTTCCGGTCCGTCCTTCACGCCCTACCGAGGTCACCAGTTGCCCCCCACGAGCGGCTCTCCAGCACGGCCACAGCCCCAGAAGCACAAGGGCTTAATGCAGAACCCAGCAGCTTGGAGCAGAAAAGTGAAAGGACTATGCGTTAATCCAGGCAATCATTTCTGCCCAGAGGGGAAAGGGTGTTGCTCCCTTCCGCCCTCCTCCCTCTGGAAAGAAAGATGGCGGCCACATGGGAGCCTTGTGGACAGCAGGTATGAGCCGGGGATGTGGGGGCGACTAAAACCTCATGGGAAGGGGGGCGTTTCGGTCCGTCCTTCACGCCCTACCGAGGTCACCAGTCACCCCCCACGAGCGGCTCTCCAGCACAGCCACGGCCCCAGAAGCACAAGGACTTAATGCAGAACCCAGCAGCTTGGAGCAGAAAAGTGAATGGACTATGCGTTGACCCAGGCCATCAAGTCTGCCGGAGGGGAAAGGGTGTTGCCCCATTCGCCCTCTCCTCTCTGGAAAGAAAGATGGCGGCCACATGGGAGCCTTGTGGACAGCAGGTATGAGCCGGGAGTGTGGGGGTGACTAAAACCTCATGGGAAGGGGGGCGTTCCGGTCCGGCCTTCACGCCCTACCGAGGTCACCAGTTGCCCCCCACGAGCGGCTCTCCAGCACAGCCATGGCCCCAGAAGCACAAGGACTTAATGCAGAACCCAGCAGCTTGGAGCAGAAAAGTGAACGGACTATGCGTTGACCCAGGCCATCAAGTCTGCCGGAGGGGAAAGGGTGTTGCCCCATTCGCCCTCTCCTCTCTGGAAAGAAAGATGGCGGCCACATGGGAGCCTTGTGGACAGCAGGTATGAGCCGGGGGAGTGGGGGTGACTAAAACCTCATGGGTCGGGGGGCGTTCTGGTCCATCCTTCACGCCCTACCGAGGCCACAAGTCGCCCCCCCGCGAGCGGCTCTCCAGCACGGCCATGGCCCCAGAAGCACAAGGACTTAATGCAGAACCCAGCAGCTTGGAGCAGAAAAGTGAACGGACTATGCGGACTATGCGTTGATCCAGCCCATCAAGTCTGCCGGAGGGGAAAGGGTGTTGCCCCATTCGCCCTCTCCTCTCTGGAAAGAAAGATGGCGGCCACATGGGTGCCTTGTGGACAGCAGGTATGAGCCGGGAGTGTGGGGGCGACTAAAACCTCATGGGAAGGGGGGCGTTTCGCTCCGCCCTTCACGCCCTACCGAGGCCACCGGTTGCCCCCCGCGAGCGGCTCTCCAGCACGGCCACGACTCCAGAACACAGAAACCAGTTTCTTAACTATCTGACTTTCAGTAGAAATACTTCCAGGGTCAATAGGTAAAATAGCAGAAATCCAAAACCAACATTTAATTCTTGAACCCAGCTGTAGAAAGCAAATCACTTCACAATGCTTTTTCAGCATGTCTGATTTGGGGGGGGGGGGGGTAAACTCTAAATAATAGTGGTGAATCTTTTATTGAAACAATGAATCTAATCAAAGCAGATAGAGTGTTAACTAGAATTCATCTGCCTCACAGGGACGGGGAGGGGTGGGGGGTGAGGTTTTATTGGGGTTCTTCATGGTAAAAAATAAGTATTGGTAAAGGGAAATGTGTTTGATATTTGCATGACTGAGACATAAACCTGAAAGCTTTGTAACCTTTCCCACAGTGATTCAATAAATAAAAAAAAAAAAAGATTATTCATCTTGACTAAATGTTGCATTCAATTTAAGCTTTAAATAAGAATAAATTTATATTCTTGCCCATTATTTCCAAACTACAACTAGGAACTGACAACTAAAGATGATACTAGCAACTTAAAATCCCTTGGCACTCATGCAATCTATGTACTGCTCAGAAAACAATTAAGTTGTGTTCTCGTCTGTGCTTTAATCATAATAATGCAATTCTATTACTCTCCTGAATTAGTTGGTAACCAGATGTACATAAGCATTTAACAGAGACAGATCCCCTAAGTGGACATGCATTAATTCCCTCCTAAATGCCTTGTAAATAAAAGATGCACCAGAACCTCAAAGGTTATTTTGTTTTCATAAAGATTAGTAAAGTGATGTGGATTATCTCTTGCATGAGCAGTTGTTTAGAAATAACTTCTACTAAGCTGTAGAAGCTGTGCTCATACTAAAATTGTGTCTTTTCTGAAATAAATATGTTTTATAAAATATAAAGTTTTTCTTAGATGTTTGCTCTTCTACTAGTAAATTTGTACTTGGTGATTTATATTAAACTCGTTATTTTATATAGTAACTCTACTAACAACTATTCAAAAACACAGTTGCTAGTTAAGACAAACATCCCTAAAGAGAAATCTATTTGAGATTGCTGTGAGTTAAATTAGCCATGATTTTCTTTCTGTCTTGAGTGATTCCACTTAGAATGTCATTAGAGTGCCAATCATAACAGTGAGCATGTATTCAATATTTTATTAGCTTGTGTTTTATTAGACTCTCATTTTAATATTGCCTTAAAAATACTTGACACTTAGCCTTCAGTTATTCTATCATTATGATGTTGTGCTTCATCGCCTTCAAATGCATAACATTCACTGAGGAGACCCAATCTATGTTTTTTGCAAACCATAGTAATTGCCAGTCTGCAATCTTATCAGAAAAATTATATTTTCCCCTAAGGAATAAAAGTAGAAATTTACTTTTAAAGTGGAGCTGATCATTTAAACTTGCTCCCATTACAGTGAAGATTGTCAAACAAAATATTAAAATATGATTTTTCTCTAGGTAAATGTTCTCAAACTAAAAACAAATACAACTTTATTTTAACTATTTATGCCATAGTTCTCAAATTTCCAAATAATTATCACTTTAATTTTTTATGTCTTATATATTTTGCATGTAAACATTAAGGATAGTTGGATATTTTTAACCTGCCTATCCATAAGTGCCATTTTAACAATAATTTTAAGTGTACAAAGTATGTAATTGATGTTTGTCACACTTCCTCCCAATAATTATCACTGCATTAAAGATAGAATTTGTAAGGGCTGGAGCGCTAGCACAGTGGATAGGGCATTTGCCTTGCCTGCGGCCAGCCCGGCAGGGCTGGGTTAAATTCCTCCTTTCGTGTCGGAGAGCCCAGCAAGCTACCGAGAGTATCTCGCCCACATGGCAAAGCCTGGTAAGATATCCGTGACGTATTCAATATGCCAAACACAGTAATAGCAAGTCTCACAATGGAGTCGTTACTGGGCCTGCTCTAGCAAATTGATGAACAACAGGAGGACAGTACAGTGCAGTGCATTTGAAATTGCATAACAGTTTTATGTGGATTTAAGAATTTTAATTTTAATTATCTAAGGGTTTTAATTCATTTACAGGTTAACATTTAAAATGTAAACTTTATTTTCCCCTTGGGTTTTAAATAGTATTTATGAGTGATTTTGAGGATGTATCATGAATAACTCAGCTGCAAGAATAACTGAAGTAAATCATGTATTAGTGCACAAAAGAACTACGCAATAAAAAAAACACCAAATTCTTGTTTTTCATAATTTTACCATAATTTTATTTTGTATTTACACTTTTCAGTTCCTAATGCAAGGGTACTACTGAGGATTGGGGAACTTGTGGGGAGAGAAGGAAGGGCCTAGGGTAAGAGGAATCAGAGGTTTTTAATGCACAGCAATGATTAGTAAAGCTAGCAGGATGTGAAAGTCTTCCAGAAGAAATTCTTGCAGCCAGCCTTGCGTTCTCGGGGTGCCATGGCCGGGTTTGAGTTAGCAGATCTCTGCAGTTCCAGCCTCATTTCATCCTGCTCCGCAGCCTGGGACAGATCTTCAGGTTCCAGGGCATCGTTCTCTGTCTGGTTGGGCTCAGACAGCAGCTCTGCCAAGAAGTACTTGGCCAGTTCCTGTGAGGTGGGGGAAAGGATGAGAATGAAGAAGAACGAGACAAACAGTGTTTAGAAACATACTCAGTCACACCCCAAGACAAGTTTTTGCAGCTGCACATCTTTTTATCACACTTAAATTAGCTAAGGAAATAAAAATAAGGGAATTTTTATAATCACCAGGTTCCCCAAAATACTTTTTAAACTCAAATGTTGCTGCATACTGCCTTGCTACGTGGGCTTAAAGTACATAAAGGAGAAATAGTAGGTTATTAAAGCAGTTTTGCAAAAATAAGTGCCAATGATTTGTTTAACTCTGTTCACTCGCACAAGAGACAAACGGGAATCATTCTTTCCATTTTCCCTTGGTCCACTATGGGAAACAAGACCTTTCACAAGAGTCCGCATTGTATTCACACCCAATTCCTCTGCATGAGAGGGAGAGACCGCCTGCTAGAAAAGAAGCAGCTTCAGAGGTCCACGGATTCAGCACCTGGGTCAGCACCTTCTTGCAGTCAGCACCGGGGATAGAAACCATCATCCCTACCTGCTCATCACCCCGGTCTGAAGCATTTTCTTTGAAGACAAAGAACTTACCTGAACTGTCACCTGCAGCTCTGATCAGAAAAATAAAGCAGAGCAACAGAGAAGGAGGGAAAGGTAGAAGATTTTGGACTTTGAAAGTTTTTTCTCAGATTGGGGGAATCCGTTAAAGCCCCGAAATTCTTCAAGAACTCCCTTAACGTCCTCAGGGGGCAGGCAGGACCCAGGCAGAGGGAAGAATTCGGGAGAGGGATTAAGAAGCCAGCGAGGGAGTTTCTTTACCTGCTTTCCCGCGGCAGCAGCCAGGGACTTCTGCAGAAATTGGCGAAGTCGAGGATCAGACGGAGCGCCAGTGACACCGCCCAGGGCCAGGACGATGGAGAGCGCGGCCAGCGCGCACTGGAGCCGGCTGGACAGCATCTCGGCGGCGCCCAGAGGTCTAGCTCTTCAACGGCTGATCAAACTCTGCAGGCAGCAGCGAAGGCTCTGAACCTCGCGACTCCTCAAGCGGCTGTGTGCTCTCCACCGGCTCCCCCCTTTTAAACTCTCTCTCTGACGTCAGACGAGGAGGCGCCCCCAGATCTCAGCAGCGCTTTTACGCATCATTACCCTCCTGAAATCAATCACATAAGTGAGAGGAGGGTACACAATCCAAAGTGGTTTTACTTATAGAAAGTAAAAAAAAAAAAGTCCTGCGCACAATACAGGCCCTGATGATTGAACACGCACTTGCCACACTACACAATCTTTTTATGTTCATTCGGGGCTACGCATATCCTTTTTTATTCACACATGTGCACATGTACATAGACACAATTACGCATTCTTAAACACTCAGCTCCTGAAGCTGCAAAAGCACTATGGAAAAGCTGTATACACCTAAATGTGCCCAGACAAATCTACCATGTTGAGTTATTCAAACATTTAAGGAGGGCTGACAAATGCAAAAGTATATACGTATGACAAGTGGAGATAGAGAATCATTCTTCTACGGACAGCTTTGAGAATGGAATGCGGATGATAAAAAAGACTGAGCTATCTCTTTTTCCATTACCTCTGTTAACAGTCTGGTAGATTTAAGCGTAATGGAGCTCTGAGGGAACCTCACTTTTTTTTTACAATGGAGGGAAAATTACCTTAGGCTCGCCCTCCATTTTTTTGCTCAACAGTTAAAAGATTTCTGGCCTCTCTTCTTACATTGACAGAAATACAAGATAAAATAATATTAATTTCATTTTTGTGCCCGGAAACTTAGAGCTCTAAGCAATCTTAGAAACCATCTACTAAATCATAGAGTTTGAATCGTTGATGCCTAGAAATTGGCAATGAAATGCAATGGCTCACACACTCAGGCTAAAGCAAGTAACCGATCTCTACATGCAAACACCAATTTTGCTTAACTTAATGAACTCTGAGTTTTCTAACAGGGCCAGTAAAAGTAATTTTCATTCAGGGTTCCTCAGTGAAGACATCTAAAGCTTCAGGAACCCCCCGATTACTTTTTAAAATCCGTAGTTATTGTGGAATTAGATTCAGCATTACCCTGTTCTGCCACAAAGAGTGTTTGACAATTCTGGTTGTAATGTAATTAGATATTTGTCATTCAAATAAGAGTTGCAGCCCACTTTTTGTTCAATTTTGTTTTTAAGAAAATTCACTGTCACAGAACAGTTACCTAATATCCCAGTATGATCCAGATGAGCCCTGTTGATTATTCAAGTGTTGGCTTTAATGTCCTTCAAACTCATTACAGGATAAAAAGATGCTTGTCTCCAGAAACAAACAAGCAAACAAAAGCAGAGGACCTGTATAATTCCATATCCTCCAACAATGCATCGTGCATATATTATCAGTGTACTTAGACCAGAGTCATACAATTAATAGGCACAAAAGTTTGGGTAGAGTCTCAAATAGTTCGAATGATTGTGACAATCATTATTGAACTTTGTCCTTTTTGTCATTATTGAAATTGTCTTTTGATAATAATCAAGACTATTTCTTTTGAGTCTGTACACTGAATCAGTAAGAGAATGCAGTTGAAGGAGTTCTAAATCTGGAGTTGACAAGTCTGAGCAAAGACAAACAAGGAGCAAGAAGTTAAAAAGACACCAATGCACTGGAATCATTAGTGAGACCAATATATTTCAGCTTGCAGAACTCAGTCCTAAGACATGCATACTTATATTTTTCTAATTATGTTCTAGAATTCTTTTGGGAACTTAATCTAGTTCCCTGTCCAGAATACACACTCCCTTCCAACAAAAGATCTCACATTACTTCTACATAGTACTTGGCCTTTGACAGTTCATTCAAACAGAGAAGGAGAAGTCAAATCATACAGGAACTATTCAGAGAACAAGTAACAATCCCATCATCTAACCCTGTCTTCTGAGAGCGCTTATATTTTCTTCCCCAAACTTCACATCCTGATTCTTCTAGTCTATCCTTTCTCCTCTTTTCTGTTTCTCCCTTTCTCCAACTTTTCTGATATTTTTCCCAAGACCTTTTTCAAATTACTTTATCTGCTCTCTTTATCTCCTACCCTCATTCATTTTGTTGTTCTTACCTTGTCACAGTTATTTTTTTACCTCAGTGTGGTTACATCTGGCTTTTCCCTAGTACCCTTCAAGTCCTGCCTAACCAATACTTCTGTAGTCGATGATCTGCCTGTTCCTTATTGCAACTTACCCTTTTTTTGCTTCCCTTCCTCATTCCTTTTTCAGATTCCTCTCACCAAAAATATTCATGACCTGTAGTTGTTTAAGTAACTTTTTAAGTGTAGTAATATTGGACTGCTTTCTTTACACCCCTGCTGAAATATTGAGGCTACATCTAAGATGACTTCTAAGTGTTTTGTTCTGTATTATAACCCGAGCAGTATTATGAATCTAAAGAAGAGGAGTCAGGATAAAAGAGAACAGAAAACAAGCCTTCTACTTCACCTTTGAAAGTTTGAAGTATAAAACTACTTCAAACTTTCTCAGCTTGGGTCCCCTATGATCAACCCTCAAAGATCTCTCTCTAATGTCTCAAAGACAGGGAAGTATGGAAATTTCATTCCAGTTATAGTGGGAATTCCATTTCCCATAACTTGGTCATCAAGAATTGCATCCTTCATCACCTATTCATTGCTCTGTGAATCACATGCCATCCCGCAAAGAAGGAAATATAGGACCCAAAGGCCTGCGTGGTTTGAACAAGCACACACAAGTAAGAAAGTGCAAGGTCAGAGGGAGGATAGATTTATACCTCCTTCCCTGATCAAACAGTCTTTTGTCAAGTCAGAAAGGCCTCTAGAAGATAGGGAAGCCTCTTCCTAGGTATAACATAAAGAAAGACAACTCAGACAGCTCCTTAGGAAACCTTTGGATGCCAACTCCCAGGACCTGTCTTCTTAGAGAGGAAGCTGCCTTATGCTTATTGCTGGGGATCCTTCATTCCCAGGCTAGTTCAGTTAAGAGAAGATATTACTGGGGGTTAGAGCAATGAAAAGCTTGAAGAAGGTTATACTTAGTTTTGTTTGAAATTTATTTGAAGTCAGTAAGCAGAATGTGCGATGGCATCTTTGAATAACAAATTAAGGAGATGAGAAGAAAAAAGTAGTAATGCCAAAAGAGTGATCTAGACATCCTCTAAAGTGCCTTTCAGAGAGCACAGAAAGCAAATTTCTGGCAATAGCTTCTGGATGGGAACATCTGAGGCCTGAGATCCAGCTGCTTGGTTTTCTTCTGCTCAAAATAGGCTGGATGTTTGTTGAAAACAGGATTTAAGAACTAAATCAGGGGCTGGAGCAATGCACAGTGCGCAGTCGACCCGGGTTCGATTCCCAGCATCTCATATGGTCCCCTGAGCAACGCTAGGAGTAATTCCTGAATGCAGAGCCAGGAGTAACCCCTGAGAATTACTAGGTGTGACCCCAAAAGCAAAAAAAAATAACTAAATCAGACAACGTAAGTGGGAGTCCTTATTAACCCATACAACAGGATAAAAAGATAAAGACCAATTTTTGTTGTTACTATGTGTGTGCACAACATATTATAAGCCATTTCCTACCCATTTTTCATAACTACCACACCATATTTGATGGGTTTCAGACAGCAGGCAACAAATAATCAAGGGAAATATATATATATATATATATATATACATATATATATATATATATATATATATATATATATACCTCTCAGAGAGCCCGGCCAGCTATCAAGGTATCCCGCCTGCACGGCAGAGCCTGGCAAGCTACCCATGGCATATTTGATATGCCAAAAACTGTAACAATAACGGGTTTCATTCCTCTGACCCTGAAAGAGCCTCCAATACAACAATGTTGGGAAAGACGAGTACAGAGAGGCAGCTAAAATCTCAGGGCTGGGATGAATGGAGATGCTACTGGTGCCCACTTGAGTAAATCTAGGAACAACAGAATGAGAGTGATACAGTGATGTGTATGCATAGGGGTTATGTTCACCAAACTAGCTTTTGGGACTGGGTTATTCCTGCTGATGCTCAGACCTTTCTCACACTGCAGACTTATAGTGTATAATTTAAAGGTCCAGGAAGATAACTTACATAGAAATGAAGCAATGGAGGCTGAAATTTACTCATTAGGAAGCTTTCTTTTCCCTTGTAAACTTTTCCTTGAAAACATACAACACTAAAGTTAGTAATGATTAACAATTCAGTGTAAATTAATTGGTTGAATTGTTTTCTAGATTTATATCTAACTTTAGAAATTTTTGTGTTAAGTTTGGAATTAACCTATTTTTTTAAATGAGTCGCTCTTATTGAGGGCAGACTTGTTGATCTGTATTGTTTAGGGATTAGAACAGACTACAGTGAGTTTACAGGCTCTCATAATGAAGAGCAAAGGTGCTTAGGTAATATTGCCATGAGAAACTTTACTTTAGTAACAACCCTATCACCATAGAGAACAGAATGAAAAATTATAGAACTCTAAAGGTTTCTGTTGGGCTGGATTTCAATTGGAAATGTCCTAATACAGACCCCTAAACCTGCTTGTTAATGAGGAACCAGGCTTTAGCATCAAATTGACTTTCATTGACTCCCACAGCCTTTCCTGAAGTGATTACATTAGATAATACAAAGTGAATCAGTTCATATAAAGTAAGCTTTTTCTATGGAATAGGTATTGACTGCTCAAGTGTGGTCTGTATCCTGTCACCTTCCAGCTCAAAATTTCTGTGATTACCTAGGAGTGGTGTCAAGTAGTCCAAGTCTAGAAGTGGTGTTAAGTAGTTCATATGCAAACACATCCATCAGATGATCATGTTTCCTCCAATCTTACATTTTCTAATAAGTCTCTTTGCGTCACTTCTCATTTACCATCCAACCCAAGAACCCCAACCACCTGATATTCCATACAAACACTCTGTCATGTATTTATTCTTAGATACATCTGTTTGATCCCTCATGGAATATTTTTGGTCCATCTGTTGAC